ATAAACCAGTCAGGAGAACTGACAGCCTCACCAACCATCGTCATCTGAGGTCTTCATGGGAGAAAGCCCGTTCCTCAGGAGCTCTGCTTCCCCAAAGGGCTGTGTGCCTGAGACCGCTGGGCCCACCACGATAAAGGCCAGAAGCTGTAGGGATGTCAGGGTTCCTGCTACGGCCTCTCCGGAAAGCCGCCGAGACCAAGGCTCATGGTCAGGCAGGCTGCAGTGACAGGAGGGAAAACTGCAATGTGCTGGACTAGGACAGAAGCCCCGACCCACAACCACAAGCAGTTCTTACCGAGTGAGAAGTCACGGCGGGCTGGTAAGCTTCTGGTGGCCCCCTGAGGTGGGAACCCCCACAAGGAGGAGGTCTTGGGGGTCAGAGCCAGAGGTCACGGCCACCCTGCCAGGCTCTGAGTGGCTGCAACAGGAAAAGCACAGGCTGGAAACCCAAAATGGCTCCGGATTCCAGCAGGAAGCACTGTGGAAACAGGACAAGGGCCCCCACCCGAGAGAGGCGACCGCGAAGCCACACCCAAGCAAGCGGCAACTAGTGTGGAACACACTCTGGCATTGCTGGGTGGCACGCGCAAGGGCCGCCCTCTGACTGTGCAGTCTGTGTCCTCCGCGCAGGGGACAAGGAGCAAGCACTGGAGGAGAGAGACCGCCACCCCAGGTGCCATCATGGGCAGGGAGGCCCAGGGTGGTGTAGGGAGAGATGGTTCACACCAGAAGAAACGGGGTGGCCTGCAGCAGGGCTGCTGGGCCTACATTTGCTCTGCATGGCAGGCAGCTGCATGATTCTGATTTACTGGAGCGTGGCCTTGGAGAGCACCCTGCTGTCCCCAAGGAAGGCAGTGGCAGCAAGTGCAGGCCTGTGGTGGGGGGACAGATGCACCCCAGGGACCATGAGGCACAGCCATCTGTCAGCCTCTGTCACACACGGTCTGGGCGTGCAGCGGGCAGCCAAGGGGCTGCACAGAACCAACACCAAGACAGATGAGGCGCTGGGCACCCGTCAGCACACGATGACTCCAGCTGACAATAAATTTGAGCCATTAAACAGGGAACGGTCTGATTGGGAAGCTGGAGTCTTGCCTTCAGCTGCTGACCACTGTGGTAATGGAGATACTGACACCATCAATCTCTTCAAGAAGAGACTCTCTGACTTCTCAAACAAGGTGAGGCTGAGTGATCTACAGTTCTGTGAGACGCTTTAGCCCAAAGAGGCCCAGCGTGGGTGTGGAGCAAATGAATCATTAGTTGGATAGCTGAGGTGACCAGCAGGGGTGCCTCCCAGCTCCGACGTCTCCTCTGCCATGTGAAGCCACGTAACTCACGGCCTCCTCCCACTTGCCAAGCGGCAGCCATGTTGGTCCCATGATCTTTGCTCTGTGGAAGCCCAGAGGGCCCCATTCAGCTTTGGGATGTGGTTGCAATTTCCATATTGCCTTCCTGAGCACTTGCAGTATGGCCAGGTTGAGAGACAGGCTGGTTCTGAGTATCCACGGGCCAATCTGGGAAGGTGGCAGCTCCAAAAGGCAGAGAGCTGCCCCACACCCAACAGGTGAGCTGCAAATGCCCGGAGGAACTGGGACATAAGCCGTGGACTCTGGTGGGTAAAGGGCAGTCCCTGCGGGTCGGCATCTGGGAAAGCCCAGCTGCAGGTCTGAAAGGCAGTGGTGGGAAGAACGTGACCTTCGCTGCCAGGGACAAGTCACCATGGACTCGCTCCCCTTCGTTACTGCTGTCACTGCCAGGCGGAAAGGTGCCAGCTTGGAAGTCCTCACCCTGGCCGGCTTCCCAGCAGCGCGGTCCCGGGCTCTGAGCCACCTGGCATGGCAGTCCTGAAGCCCAGGTGAGACAGTGCATCCGGGGCCCTGGGCCCCGTATCGGCGCAACTCCCTTGCTGCCATCCTTGTGCTCCTCTTCCCACGGTGGACCCCAAAAGTCCAGAGGGTGGGCAGGGATGCTGGGGACACAATCGCTCCCCAGCGCTTTCTGCTCTAAAGCCCCCCGCCCGGGGTCCTGCAGTGCCCGGATCTCCTGCATGGGGAACAGGCGTGGAAGGGGCTGGAAGAGGAGGTCTCAGGACCTGCCGGGGGCCCTGCTGGCAAATTCTAACCCCGGGGACTGTCTGTGCTTTTACAAGCTCCTTAAGAGACTGATGTGCACCCCAGTTGAGAACCACTGAACCAAAGAAAAGAGATGGCGCCGGCTTCCAGCTTCCTCTCCATGTGACATTCAGATCTGCATCTGTCGGGATGAAATGAAACCTTTCTTTCTTGTCTTTCTGCCCCTTCAGAGCTGGCTGTCCCACAGAAGAGCAGCGTGACCCACAGCCCACCTCTGTCCTCCAGGACTGTGCTCCTGGCCAGGACTCTGCCCTGAAAGGAAGGCTCCCTGCTCCTCCAGTCGGTGCCTGGAGGATCCGTCCCTGGCCAGGGCCCAGCGGGGACAGAGACCTACAAACCCCACACACCCTTTCATTCCTCCCTCCCGCTTCTTACTCAGTCTCTCTGGTCTGCTTTCCTTTGAGTCCTAGCCCTGTCCCTCTGCAGAGGGGACAGGGAAGCCAGCCTCAGGGGCAGCCCAGGGTGTCCCCCAGTGGGGTCACAATATGCTTCACTAAGCGGACATCACCTTTGGCCACCACCTTTGGCCACAGGCCTGGGGGGGGTTGCCATGGCAGCATGGGTAGCTTGGTCTTGGAAGTATGTTCTGCCCTCATTCTGGCTGCCTGGGGTCCCTGGCCCCAGCCTTCTTCCCGGATCCTTTCAATAGACTTACGGCACCCTGGCGCCAGCCCACAGCTCCTATTCTTCAGTTTAGAGTAGATTTGTCTTGGTCAGCAAAAAAGTGGTTTGACTTAGCCACAAAGGAATAGAACAAGCTATGCCTCTCCTCACAACTCTGCAGCCTTGCCTTGCTCTCAAAGTCAGAGTACTCAGCATGGCTACCAGGACCTCTGAGGTACAGCCTCAGTTTCCTCAGTGACCTTAGCTCCCTTACAGTCACTCCAGACACACTGTGCTGCTCACAGTTCCTAACAAACACCAAGCAGCTCCTTCCGCAGGCCTTTTGGACATGCTGCTGTGCACCATGTCCCCTGATCTCTGGACCCCAAACACCCCACCTGGCTCCTAGCACGGCAGCACTGAACCCCACCCCTGCATTCATACCCAGCTTCGTCATTCCTCACAGCACGTTTCAGCCCCTCGTGTTTTGTTGGCATAGGGTCTGTCTTCCCCACTCGACTCCTCTGGAAACAGGTCAGCCACATCTATTGAGTGGACACTTAGACCTGGGTTCCAAGCCTGGCGCTGCTTGCTGGCAGCTTTGTGGCACTGCACAAGCCACCTGGTCACCATGAGCTGTGGTGCACCTGTCCGCGAGGCAGCAGGGACAGAATCTGGGGGACACATGAGGAGAAGCAGCGGTGCACAGAGCCTGGGACCCAGCGACGCACACGCAGTCGCTGCCATCACCTGTGCATTCCCGTGCCCACTGCGTCCAGGACTCGCGCGTCCACGCACTTCCCGTCATGTGCCAGGGACCCTGCAGTGTGCCCATGGGAATGACGCCAGCCAGGGGCAAGGTGGGGACTTCTGTCCCACAAGCATGATGACACTGAGCAGCCGCACACCGGGGACCCGCCCCTCCTGCCTGCCCGAGCCTCTGCTCACTTCACACTTGTCCCTCACCACAAGGAACACTGAGGAACTGGTCCCGGAAGCTACAGGACAGAACAGCAAGCAAAAGGGAGACCCACCTGGTGCCCGGCGAAACCCCGCGGGCCTCGTGTGTGGAGGGCACTCAGAAAAAGATCGTTGTTCGTCATTCATTTGCTACGGAAATACAGAACTTAAGTCTTTAAAAGCTAAGAGGAGCCCTTCCCTGCCCAGCACCTCTCAGACCTGTGTGGAATATGAGGTCTGAGTCCAGGCTTTTTCCGTTAAGAGAACCAGAAAGTAGCCAGGTCACCGGGACCTCGGAGGAAGACGCTGCAGACTCATAGTGTTTTGTGGTGGCCGTTTTCTTCCTGTATTTAAAGGACCGTCAAACTAAGAAAAGGAACATGTACGGCCACTCCAAAGAGCCAGAGCAGAAGAGAAGAGAACTTGTGTGTGGGGGGGGGGGTCCTCCACTCACAGAGGACACTTGTCCACAGCAAAACTCACTGTCCTGCATGGTAGTGAACTCCCCGTCACGGCAGCAGAAAACACATGACCATCCGCCAGAAAGGTGATAGAAGGACTTTTCTAATCCAAGCAACTGTATCATGCGACCAAACAAATGTAGATCTGACTCCAGTCCCCCAAAGTTAATCACATGGCTGGGGCAGGTTAACCTTGGAGGAGCACAGCACAGCGGACTCGTTCAGCCCTCCACGGAGTGAAAAGCAGGCGCCACGGCTTCTCCGAGGGCCTCTGCGGGCTGAGAAACGCAAACTCCACAGAGTAAGGGGGACAGACAGACCTTGCACACGGGGAGCACATGGCCACCGTGGGCCACGGCACCGGCAACCTCGTGGGGCCACACCAGCGGGTCACTGCTGAGTGCCCAGCCCTCCCAGGCCCTGCCCGGCCCTGTCAGCGAGGCTGCGACCCCGGCTGCCCATTCACAAGGCCAGGCTGGTCAGCCTTGAGAACCACGGCTTATGAGGGAACAGGAGGGCCGGAGACTCCTGGTCCCCCCAAGGACGTGGGTGCTTGGACGATGCTGCCTTGGTCTTCACAGAGCCCCTGGTCTGCACGTGGAGGAGGGCCACGTGGTGCTGGACACGGTCCCTGGGGACCCAGGAGAGGCGGGAGAATTCCCTTCGGGGACAGCTGCCCCGCATTGGGAGGGCGGCGAGGGAGGTGCTCTGGAAGCCGGGCAGATGCTGCCATCCAGAGGACCCCGCAGGGACCCCCGCTTCGTCCTGGGGTGCGCTTCGCCTCTGCCCTCCGCCCTGTACCCACACGTTCCTTTCCGGTCACACAGGCATCTTCTTCCCACAGGAATCTCAGAAAACACGGCCGTGCCCCGGGTGCCCGATCCGCAGGAGGAGGATCTTCGACGGCAGCTGGAGGAAGAAAAATCGAGGTGCCCTTCTTCTCCGCCACTCACGGCCCCACCCCGACTCCAGGACAGCCTGGAAGCGGGTGGCACAGCGGGGCCTGGGCAGGGCCCTGGGAGAGGAGCCCACCCTGCCCTGCAGGCCCCGGAGCAGCCCGCCTTGTGTGCTGCTGCCACCTGGAGGACGCGAGCAGAATGACCCCAGCTTCACCCGCTTCCCTCCTGCCTAAGCCTCGGGAACTGCAGACCTGCACACAGGCCCACAGCCCCTGAGCTGCCCAAAGCACTATTTTACTTCAGAGGGAGGAGCGGTAGGCATGTGGCTTTGCAGGTTCCCCCGGAACCTCAGGGAAGCGCTGTAGCTCATTTAGGCATCCATGTGCTGAGCACATTTGCTGGGTTCTGGGGACTCCACACAGGTCACGCCCTCTGCGGCTGGGTGCTGATGGACCGTGTCGTGGAAACACTCTCCCTGCCCCCACCCCAGCCCGGTGCTGCCCAGGGGCTCAGGGTCAGCCTGGGCAACATACTGGACCTGTCACAAAACAAAACAAGGACCATACTGTGACTTTTGGTTCTCATCATGAAGATGACCCAACAAACAGTGAGGCGGTTAAGAGTGTGGTCCTAGAGTCCGTCCGCCTGGGTTTGGATCCTGGCTGCTCTGTGCAGACTACAGGACCCCGCCCCTCCCCACTGCGAGGTCGGAATCCATAGCAGGGAGATCAACGAGTGTGTGTCGCATGCCTGGCCCACTGAGTTCTCAGGGAAGACAGTTCAGTGTCTCTCCATCACACACAGACCCCTGGGGCAACAGGACAAAAGGCCCGGCTCTGCTAGGCCTGGGCATATCCAGGTGTTGGCCCTCAACACTGAGGCAGCTGCCTGGCTTCTAAGAAAAAACCCTGTATTTCCAGCCCCACCTCTGGGCTGGGACTCCAAGACTGGTCACCACCGCTCCTCTGATCCCGCTGCAGGTACAGAGCAATGTTCACACAACTCAAAGCCCTGAAGGTGGAGATCGAGCATCTGCAGCTGCTCATGGACAAGGCCAAGGTCAAGCTGCAAAAAGGGTTTGAAGCCTGGTGGGCAGCAGAGGCCAGCAGCCTGCAGGTACGATCTGGGGACACCAGGCAGCTGCAGAGGGGCATGGGGAGAGAGGGGAGCAGGGGGGCTCGTGCACCAGGTGCTCGTGTGAGTAACAGGAGCCGCTGGTACCCACCTGAACAAGGGGGAGTGGGGTACGGAAGAGGCAGCTCCCCAAACTGAGGCTGAGCCGCCATTGCTGTGTACAGCAGGCCCCAGGGACAGCACACTGCCATTTACTGTTTCCCCATCACAGTCAGATACCTGCCCTTAATTAGAGACATTCCAGAAAACACCAAGAAAAAAGTACAACTCACTTTAAACCCTCCACTTAAAGGTAGTCGGTATTAGCATGTCGGCTTGCCTTGTTTTAGCTTTTCCTCTCTGCATATCCATCGATGTGTCTTATAAAAATAGAATCACACTGGTCTTCAAGTATCACAAATAGCTTATTTTTACTTAATTGCTTAGAATGACTGGTTTCTCATGTTGTTATTCTGTATCATTCCCGTCGATTACGATTCCGCCATAGGAATATATCTCAGTGAATTTAACCAAGCTGTTCTTGAGTGTTTAGGTTTTACCTCATTTTTCACTCAGAACATATCTGTGGATAAACTTTTTCACATTTCCCAGATAGATTCCTAACAAGTCTCTTTATTAGTATGAAAGCTAAAACACTCTGCTAAGAAGTAGTTTCGAATCTTGAGTTCAGCTGTCCTCAGGTTACCCCTCAGTTGTGGTGAGACCAAAGTGACAAAGGACACATTGTCGTGTCACCTGTGCGGCCTCCAGGTTCCTCTGAGATCACCTCTCAGGCTGCTCCCTTCATTGTAAGGACAAGGAAACAGAGCCAGAGAAGGTATTCACCGAAGGAAACACAATAACCCCGAAATCACTGGTACCTCACCAAGTGGCCCTGTGACGGAGCTGCAGAGAAAACTGGATCAAATTAAATGCACGGGATAACAAAAAATGTTGAAGTACAGCTGTCAAAATGGTTTACAAGCTAAGTTATGGGCCGGGGATTTAGCTCAGTGGTTCTGCTGTCTGCCTCACAAGCACAAGGTCCCAAGTTTGATCCCAAGTACTAAAATAAGTGAATAAAAAGCTAAGTTATGATATAATAGTCTGTGTAGCACTTTATAAGTACATTAACTAATAAGATCTAGGCATCACATCATCAATAAAATAGTTTCAGTTTTGCCATAATTTCAAAGTCACGATGAACACAGTATTTCTAGATTTCTGCACCAACAGTGATAACAGGAGAGCCGATGTGACTTCTACTGGGCACAAAGCCACAGGTACTCCTAACACTGCTCTGGTCCGTTGTCTTCATTCATCAATTTCAAGTAGGAATCGGGGTAGATAAAGACACAAAGACGCCCATCCACACTGGCACCACCGGCTCGCTTCTGCGGGCTCCTGGTCACCAGTGAGTGAGGGCTGCGGCCACAGCTGGTCCCCAAGTGTGGCTCAGGAAGCATCCTGCGAGGCTGATGATCCACGTAGGTTGTCACTTACTTAGACAGTAGAATCGTAGTCAAGCATCCCTGTCCCTGGACATCACTGAAACAAAAGAGGTCGGATGATGGCCACAGGTGGCCGCTCTCAGGAGAGCTGGTTGTGTGTTTGCTGCACAGCAGTTTCTCAGCCTGTGCTACAGCTGGGCCCAGGCGGGGAGCCTCCGAGCTCATCAGGACGCAGCACTCTGCGCCAGCTCGCCGGAAGGTCAGGGAGCAGGTGGGGATCAGCTGGTAGCCTCCTGTGTTGGCTGTTCTGTGACGGTCACAGGGCAACCTGCAGAGACGCAGCCCGGAAGCCACTGGAGACTCAGGTTTCTGAGCGCCCCAGAGCAGAGCTGTGCCCCACACAGGGTCGTGCTCAGGGTCGCTGGGAGAGGACCTGTGGGCAAGGAGACGGGAAACCAGAAAGGTTTCCGGAGAACTGTCAGATGACATCACTTGTCTCTCTACCTACAAAAAGTTAATACCTGCTCAATTCAGAAGACAAAGTACAGAAAAGCGCAGAGTATAAACCAAACATTTCCCAAAATATACCATCCAAAGATGACATTTTGATGCCTGACATTAGAATCATAAATGTGTCTGGATTTCTGTTTTACCATATACATTGTTCATGCCAGCTTTCACAACCGGCTTCCCCCCCGCTTACCAGTCACACTAAGAACGACTTCCTGTGTTATCAGGTTCATGCTCTCTTTTCTGGCCCAGCAGGTGCATTCTCCAGCGGCGAATCCACAGGGTCCAGTGAAACCTTTTCCCCAGACCTCCAAGTCCCAGAAGGACCAGTCCCAGCTTCTGTCTAACAGAAGGTAAGGAGAGAAGTCACCGGCAGAGTTTGGAGACCCAGGCGAAGCTCCCTTCTTCTGTCCTTACCTAGTTCTTTCGGCTGTGTCCTCAGAGGTTCCCTGGTCTTAGAGGAGGCATTGCTGTTGCTATTAATTGGTCTCGGGCAGAGAGCTTGCAAGCTCACTTAGGGCATGGCCTTCGGTCCCTGCTCTGACAGCCAGGAGAGCCCCACTATTAGGGCTGTGTCTGTAAGTCCTCCAAAGCCTCATGTGGCCATAAGTGACGCTGTTTCAGAGGTGGCAGGATCTGGAGTATGCGACTGATTCACAGTGCAGTGCTGGCATTAAGGGTGTGAGGGCTTATCTGCCCTAAGGCTGGTCAGCCTGGATACAATATGAAGGACAGAAAGGCCTGCTGACAGTTACTTGAAGGTAGTTGCTTGCTTGCGTTTGCTGTCTTCTACCCTGCCATGGACTGTTTCTGCTCTGTGACGCCTCTCTGCCTTGGATCCAGCTGATTATGGACTGAAGCCGCTACAGACTGAGCCAAATAAACCTTTCCTCCTTTAACTTTGGGTGTCAGGTATTTTGTCTCAGCAAGGAGAAAAAGTAATTTAAGACACCTACCATGGTGACAAGAGGCTCTGGTCCCGCCCTGACAGGAGCACAACTGGCAGGAAGAGGAAGAGAGCGCAGCAGGGGTGAGGTGGAGACTGGGAAGAGGGGGTTGGAGATGGAGCAGAGGAACCCAGATGTAGACGCTTCGTCCCAGCGAGGATGCGGGAGAGGCCTGGGCAGCCTCCCACACGGCCCCACGAAGGAGCACAGCACCCATGGCCCTCAGTGAGGAGGTGTCCGCTTCCCACTCCTCACCTTTGCCCACCCCACGTGACCCTGCCACCTCCACCCCTCGGACCGGGAACTGCACGATGCCCATCTCTCTGCCACCGAACAACAAGCCAGCCCTGGGCTTAGGAAGCCGCCAAGGTCCCAGCCAGAAGTGTGAAGCGGGCCTTCGAAAGCAGAGCGGGGCTGGCAGCGTCCTCACCGTCATGTGAGAGACGGGCACTGTGCACCAGACACCCTAAGCTTGAAACCCATCTCCTCCGGGGGAGGCAGGAAGAAAACACTGCATGAGTCCCAGCTGAGCGGCGTCTGCCAGACACCCAGCCTGTTCTCCCCAAGCTGACGGGCATCAGAATCGAGGGACCATGGAGCGTCTCGGCCGGGCGCAACGACAGCCGAGTGTCACATGGCACCCTGAGTGGGAAGAGAAACAGACACCGGGTAGAAGCCAAGAGGAGGCCGATGAAGGCTGGGCCCCGTGTTGACGCCGTCGTGCTAGTGCAAAAGTGTGCATCAGGGACAACTCAGTGTGTGTGACCTGTCCATGCTGGCTCTTCAACAATTCTGCAACCTGAAAACCGACCAAAAGAGGCTTGTCTAGAACATGAACAGGCCCGCCGCCGAGGCCCTGATGCCGGGCGACAATTCCCACGTTGCCAGCTTGCTCTCCAGACTCAGAAAACAGCCCGTGTGTCCCCCACAGCCCAGGAACAAAAACTGACAGACACAATTTTATTTTTTTCTTTTTTTGGCTAGCAGGGTGTTTTAAACAGCAGTGTCATAGGGAAAAGTACTGATCGGTTTGACTTCATTTAAAATTTAAATGCTGCTTTATAAAAGATACTGTGGAGAAAATGAAAAGACAGACTGGGCATGGTAGCACATGCCTGTAATCCCAGCACTCTGGGAGGCTGAGGCAGAAGGACTGAAGTTCAAGCCGAGCCTAGGCAACTTAGCAACATAGTGAAAACCTGTCTCAAAATTTTAAAAGGACTGGGGATGTATGTAACGCAGTGCAGAGGCCCTGGGTTCAATCTCCAGTACCAGGAGAAAGAGACAAGAGGGAAGAAAGAAAAGAAGGGAGGGAAGGAATGAAAAGCCAAGATGCAGATTAGGAGAAAACTATTTGCAAAACACACATCTAGGAAGGACTGTATCCAAAAACACAGACGATAATAAAGTTCAACAATAAGAAAACAGCTCAGTTTTTTAAAATGAGTGAAAGATCTGAACAGGCACTTTGCCGGTCAACACAGACTTATGGGGAGTAAAGAGTGAATCCCCGGGGCAGCAAAACTTTTTTTTTTTTTTTTTTTTTTTTTTGGTAGTACTAGGGATTGAACCTGGGGCCTTTACACTGAATTACATCCTTAACCCTTTTTTTAATTTTTTATTTTGAGACAAATTCTAAGTCACTAAGTTGCCCAGACTGGGCTTGAATTTCCTTGGTTCAAATTGGTGGGCCTCCTGCCTCAGCTCCTAGGATGCTGAGGTTACAGCCCTGTGCTATCACCCCCAGCTAGTGAGACTATGCTCTTCAGATACTGTGCTGGCAGACATGTGATATCATGCAGCGTCCCGATCCATAGGTTCTGACAGCACCAAGAGTGAATCCCTACAAAAGTGATGGGCTTTAGCTCCCTGAAACATATCGCTGTTGGTTGGTCACTTTTTCGCTTCACCTCAGTGATGCTAGGTGTCACTCACGGGGAAAATGGGGTGGGCGGACGGGGTTTGAGAACTCTGTATCTGCCCAACTTTCTGTAAACAAACCTACTAATTAAAAGCTAGAAAGGTGGCATAACTAGGCAGCCTCGCGCTCCATAGTAACAGGGGCATCCGGCCCGTGTCCTGCACCTGGCACGGTCCCTTGTGTACCTGCCACCTCTGCAGATGCTGGAGGTGGATTTGCTACCTTGTCCCACACCCAACCCTGCCCCTAGAGCCCTGGCTGCACAGAGTGTTTGGCCCAACCCAGACAAGAGGACGGAGCTGCCCAGCCATTGCCACTAGCCCTGGAGAACAAGCGCCCACCCAGCCAGAGACTCCGAGCCCCATCTCTTCCTAGCCTCATCTCCTGCACAGCTCCTGCCACTGGAAAGATCTTGTCCCACAAATAGAAAGGCCCAACTCTGCTCTTGGCTGAGAAGCGGGACAGCCTGGGGTGTCAAGGACATCCCTGTGAACGTGCTCACTAGACATGAGGCTCCAAGGGGGAAACAGGCCGCATTTACCAGGAAACCCTTAAACTGGATTCAGATCCTGCTCCAGAGCTCCTCCCCAGCCCTCCTTGGTGGCCGCAGTGCTGTCCTGGGGTCGCTGGCCCTGGGCGGAGATAACCGAGTGTCCTGAACCGTGCTTAAGGCGCCCCTCCCTCCATAGTTTGAATCCCAGGCTCTGTGAGTGGGGAGGGCCCACTAGACAGCAGAGAGAAGCACCTCGCTGGGGACTGGACAGGGAGCAGGCCGGGGGCTTAGAAGAGAAGCCATAGGGCTCCACAAATCGCTGCCTGAGGAGGCAAGAAGACCACAGGGGAGCCTGTCAGGGGCACGCAGCGTCCCTCAGCTCTGTGACAGCCGACAGGGGCAGGCCAGCTGCTGGCACTTCTGTGTCCCCCAAGGCCATTGCACTCACTTCTCAGGGTTTTGTTTTGTTTTTTTGGAACCAGGGATCCAACTCGGGTCCTTGTGCAGGCAGGCGGTGGAACCGCTGAGATAAATCCGCAGCCCTTGCACTGGCTTCTCTCGCACTCACAGCATCCAACTCCGGAGGGCCCTATTGGGCCAGGAGCCAATGTGCAGACCCCATCCCGAAGATGAGAAAATGCCAATGCAGAAAGCTCAAGAAGCTTGCTCAGGGTCTCCCACTGCTTGGTGGTGAGACCAGGATTTGAAGCCAGGCCTGTCAGAGGCTGGTCCCTGCCCTCCCTTCTGGCGTCAGTGTTCAGCACAAGCAGCTGCCTTTGGGGACAGGAGTGCGGGAGGCTCAGCAAGAGCTGGCGTCTCCTGGCCCATCTGCTAGGATGCTGCACAAAGACGTTCCATCGGCACACCCGTCCCGGCCCGGCGCCAGCCCTCGAGCTCGGGGGCTCGCTCTCTCCCTCTGTCCCCAAGCCTGACTGTCCCAGGGGCCTCACGGAGCCCACACTGCCCCCTCTCGGGCCACGTTCTGAGGCCTGGACAGCAGAACTCTTTAAGAGTGGCTGTCACCACCACAATGGAGAAATGCTGAGCACAGCGCCGCAAAGAAGGAGAACTGAGGCCCGACGAGGAATGAGATTTTTTTTTCAATTGTGGCTAATAAGGCCAAGAGCTCATAATTAAACCCGACCTCAAGCTCCACGGTTAAGGGCTCCTCCGCCTCTCCCTCATCCCT